TGAGGTGAAGAAATACCGTTAGTGTATGGTCAGCAGATGCTTTCTTCGCTGAGACTGCAGAGAAGAGTGAACTGCTGCCATCACTGACTGTTGTGGCTGTTCTTTTGCTTTGCTTATTCCCCCCCTTCATTGTGAATATTGGTTAATGTGGTTTTTTCATCTCCTTTGTGTTTACTCAGCAGCTGGTGCCTCTTTGGGCTGGGACAAACTATCTCAAAGGATACAAATGGGGACAGGTTTTACTTGCATTGCTAACATCTCTGCCTTCTCATTTTTTAGTATCTTTGCCACACTACCTACCCAGACAGGCTGCAGAGAAACTCAGACTGACATGGGCAAAAAGGGTTGCATGCTGGTTGGCGAGGAGCTGTAGCAGTTCACAGGACAAGATGCCCCTGATTCAGGATTTTGCTATAAATATCCAATTTAAGCATCAAGATGAAGATTAAGTCATAAATTGACCACTATCATAATGATTCATTTGTTTAAATTGACCCTGAGGTCATTCCGTTGTTTTTCTTTTTTTTTTTTTTTTTAGAATGTTACTACATTTTTAGCTCCCCAAATCAATAGACTTGCTATTAAACATCTGTATATTCCATATTGCTCTTGGAAGTCACCGGTAAGGCTGAGACGTTTCATGAAGGAAGGAGAATTTACTGAACTGAGGAAACGGACAACCACGTGCCACAGGCATTGGCAGAAAATCTTCTTTGCTTTGTGCTAGCCACAGCATGAACAGTGGCTGTGCGCCTTGTGGAGGCAAAAACTTTGAACTTCTCTCTGCTGTAGCATTAGACTGCCTTTGGATGTGGTGTGAGTGAGTGAGTGAGTGTGTGTGTGTGTGTTGTTGCAGGCCTGTGTCACAGGCATTGTCACTGACCTTGTCTCATGGGAGATGATATTTAGCCTAATTTTCTCCCAGAGCCTACACAGGCCAGGTTCAGTTTTAGAGCAGAAAGGCTAAATGTGCGGCTCACACTGATGGCTGGCATATGTTAAAAGAGCAGTCTTATTTCCTCTTCGTCTTAACACTGAACCGTTCTGTAGTAGCTGACAAAGGCCAGTGTGGGGCTTTGATTTGCTGAGGTGGGCAATTATTGCTGGCATTTGAGAGAGCAGAGAGGGGCTCTAATAGCTACAGGAAGCCAACAGCTCTTCACAAAACACCCTTGATGCTCTGGACTGAACTGTTCTTGGCAGTAACGGTGCTAATTTCAGCTCTTTGGGGAAGTCTTAATATTCATATGGTATCAGAATATTTTTAGGGGAAAATTAAGATTTTTTTCTTCTCAGCTCCTGTCTCACTGCTACAGATACCAATATAGAAGAGAGACAACCTGAGTCCTTCAGTGAATGTTTCCAAGAGCAGAGTAAAGGAAGATAGGTGTGATGATTACATTTAATCTTTTGGTGGTCTTAGATCTCCCATATACTGTGATTCTTCCTGTAGTACGGTGTATTTTATTACAGCAACTGCTATAAAGGAGCTTTAGTACATGTCAAAACCAACAGGATTTCAGCCTCAGCAGTACAGGGAGGCAATGACAGTAAACTTCTTGTCCAAAATTACATGTGCTCTACAGAAAACATTGACCTGTAGAGTCCCTTCAGTTGTTCTGACTCTCAGTACAGAACCAGTCCCAGACTTTGTAGCTTTAAGTGCTTCTCTCTTCATGGGTTTTGTGAACTGTTGAAAATTAGACTCCCAAAAGTACGATATACAATTTGCACCCTCCCCACTATGTGCCACATGTTACTGGTATGTTTTGTCCGTTTGTGACGCTGTTAAGGAGTGCTAAGCAATCACTCTTCCCAGACCCATGTAGTGCTAGTGCCATCTGGTTTCACTGCATCACCTCTTAATTCTTTTCTGAGGTTATAACAATCCTCAGAATTTCATTTAAGAGTATCCTTACAGTGGGATTTCTTACACTGAAAAGCTCTTTTTAGAAAAAAACCCACACACCACTAGTGCATCAAGTAATTGAAAAAAGCTATTTTCATTTAAACCCTGTAAATTTTATTAACTGGTTTGAGGTGACTTACATTATGTTGGTAGGAACATAAGTCCATGTGTATAAAACATCCCCCAGACGTTAGCATGTACAAATAAATGTTTTGTATTGGTAAGAATAGGTCCCCGAGACAGAGATCAGAGTTATTTTTCTGTTTCCACCAGAATTACTGTGAACTTCAGTAGATCAATGAATTGAATTGATTTGATTAAATAGAATAGAATTTGTGTGTCTGAGTTTTGTTTTTCCTAGGTAAGAATTTAGAGCTGGTTTTCTTACATTTTTCTTTTCTAGATCTGTATGCATAAAAATTTGTTCATGGATTTATTACTGTGAATTAATTTGGAGGTACTATCATGGGGGGCATTTATTTGATTCTCATTAAGAAGATCAAAACATACTTTTGAGCCACCCACTTGGATTCTTAGTATGAAAAGATGTTTCTCCTGGTTACAAAGACATGGTTTTGCAACTAGTGGAGCCTGAGATTCTACTTTTGGTACATATTAACTACGTTTTCTGAGAGCAAACCAATTTGTCTAATTACTCCAAATTCCTTCCACAGCTAGAACTCTGTACAATTCCCTATTACTGTCTTTTCAAGATTATTCCCATATTCATATGCTTACTCCAGTTATTTCTTTTACAGGAACACTACTGCAAGAGTCCTGTTTAGGGAGTATTTTATTACTCATAAGGTTTTATCCCATCCATATAGTTTGACTGTTAGTTTTGTTATTAGCTTACTGAAGTGTCTCTTCATTTACTTTTTATTCATATATTCTGGGAAGACCTGAAAGCCTTAAGCAGTACTGTGTTACTTAAAGTAACTAAGATACAGGAAGTAAGTAGGTGTAAAAAAGGAGAATAAAATAGAGAAAATGAGACAAGGTTTCAGGAAAAACAAAGATGTAGTCTGTCTAAAATCCCATGTAACTTGGGATGTTGGTGGCTAAAATGTATGAGAGTGCAAAGCAGAGATTCAAACCATCTTTTCACTCGTCCCCCATCAGAGTCCCATTGCTTGATTGTCCTGAGAAATGCTGGTCCACGGATGAAGGCTCATATGTCTTCCACCGGACACTCACTGTAGCCTGGTATGGGAGGTCAGCCCTGGAGCTTCTCACAGACATGATCCAGCTAAACATCAGCACAGCCTGTCAAACGTTACCTGTGTGGCTCCAGTAGTGTTTTCCTGCAGACATCTTAGTAGAGAGGTGCCTGTGTTGGGTAGCATGATGGTCACTCTGCAGGTCAGTTTGGTGAAGGTGTTCCGTATCTGTACCAGATACACAAAGAACAAGATGCTGAGGTGAGTAGGCAGCGGAGGTGGCTGCTGCAACTGCAGCAAGTGGAAGGAAGAAGTGCTATGTAGAAGAGAGGAAATAATGAGATTGAAAGAAATTGGGGGGGGGGGGGGAAGTGTAACACTTTTCACAGAAGGTATGCCACAGGACTTGTGCTCACAGAGTGAAGCAACAAGCCTGCCAAGTAGCATCAGACTCGCAGTGTGTTGGATCAGGCGTAGCAGTAGTGCTGCTGCTGGTGCTGGTCACCACGGCTGCAACCTGCGCTGAGTGCTTTGGGGCTCAGCAGCAGCATGGCATGCATGAATGCTCCAGAGATGATTTTGAGGAGGAACTAATAATTTTCAGATTGAGATCAGGTCTCTTTACCTGTGAGCAGCCACGCTCTGACAAACAGGCTGCTATACTCTATTAAGGAGAGCACCTCAAAACAGAAGCACCCATACTTTGTAGTTGCTTTCAAAAACAAAATTGCAGATTGTAGAAAACGAAACAGGATTTCCTGATCAAAAGACAAAACTACCAACATATTCTATGTGTTTTCTTGCCTTTTGCCTCGACTTGATTAATTTTTTTTTTCTGTATTTGAAAAATAAAATCCAAGAGCATTTCATGTCAGATGTCTAAAATGACTGTGCTATGCATCATGCAAGTGACTGCTGGCTTCTGAAAAAGCAGTAATTGTAATGCCTTTCCTTCCCTACAGTGAACAGACATAAATATTCACATGGCTGGGGTACATTAGGCTAGGTAGATTATTCATACATTTGCTGGTTAGGAATACAAATAGTGAAGTGTTGCTTTAAAAAAAAAAAGCACTGAAAGTCTTCTTCATAGTCCTTTAACCAACAGTAATGCAGTAATATGACATAGCTGAATTTGGCAAGGCACTAAAAGGTAAGTTCCTCTGCAGGGTAGAGTGGCAGTGAGAATTTAAGGGATGTTTGAATTGTTTTTCAAATTTTGCCTACAAATACTGATATTGTGCAATACTGAATACATTCAGTGCATGTGCAGTAGGCCTTACTTCGCTATAGGTGTGACTTCTGTGAAACTAAGGGGGGGATGTTTTTAGTAAGGTCTGCCGGATTTGATTTGAAAGGATTGTATTTTATTTGTAGAAGAGAAGAGGCAAATAATAATTTTCATTTTATTCCTTTGCTGCTTGGCTATACTTAAAGTTTTCATTAGTGTTGGAGCACTAGTAAGCACTTTTGATTGTTCTCTTTTTTAATCAAGTGTTATTATTATTCATACTTTTCTCCTCAGAAGAAGGGAATTGCCTTACCCTGAGAGCAGAGTTCATCTTGTCCCATGTAGCTATGTGCAGATCAGGTGTTGAGTCTAAGCCCCCTATTGCCAACTCTTTTCCTAGTCAGTGAAGAAAGACGAGTACTTCTGGAGTCATTTGTCCTGAAACCTGTCTCAGGATGCCAGGGATTTCACACTGAAAATATTTTCATTTGGTGGAGAGAGTTGAAATGATGATGTCTGTCTAGGTACCAAACCATGGCTAATAAAAGGAGGTGGGATGAACACTCTTGTGAGTGATAGTCAGTTCTTGGTGCCATGTCAGTGGGTTGGCAATGTATTTATGAAAAAGCAGTGTTTGACAGGATGGAGTGTGATACTGTGGGATGTCCTGTGGATTTACAGTCTCAATTTCCAATTTCAGGGGGGTGAACATTGCTATTATCAGGGAGAAATTCGAGGAAATCCTGTATCATTTGTTGCCTTGTCAACATGCCATGGATTACAGTAAGTCTGCTGGTTTGTTTTTACTGGCCTTTGCTTATTAGTCTTTTAAGCAAAATAAAGCTGTTTATAGTAAAATAAGTGCTATTTATTTTCCTATTAGTTTGTCACCAATACTAAGTGCTCAACAATCTTTAGAAAAAATGGGTTTAATTTGAACCTTGCAAAAGCCTTGTTTGTTTGTTTTCAGAACTAGCTGACAAAGCATGAAAATTTATTTTCCTTTTTTTTTTTTTAAACTGAGGACATCTGACAGTGGCCAGGTATTGTTTTAAGATAATTTGTTATAGTAATAGAAGAGTAAAAGTAGCTGAAAACATCCTATTCTACAAGAATAAAAAACACTGCTAGTATTGACGTGAACCATTGGGAAATTGTGTTCTGTTGAACACAATACAATGTATTTTATATTTCTTTTCTACTCTTTTTACAAAGGAAAGTATTGGTTTAGAGTTTCTCTTTTCCTATCCATTTTCTTCACAGAATGGCTGACCTTAAGCTGTGTGCATGGAGTAATACCTTTGATATAGTAAAATCTTGGAAGATCTGGAAGAAAGGATATAAAATGGTGCAATAATATTTTGTTTAAAGTACATCATTTTAGTGATAATATAATTAAAGTGTCTGTTATCTGAAGATCACATGGAGCTGTGTTGATTATACAGCTTTTGGACCTGTCTAGTTTTGGCACTATTGAAAGAAGCTAGTCAGGTTTTCCGAGCAACTGAGCAACTTCAGCGTCTGTTGAATCTGGGAATGATGGGATCTCAGCACTTTTGATACCGAGATCAGCTTGCAATGTTATGGCAGCAAGCGAGCCTGTGTGAAGATTACCTGAGCTTTGCCTTTTTCTGAGGAAGCAGGGCTTAGCTGATGGAAATCTTCTTCAGCTTACTATCTCCAACTATTCTGTAGTATTGGTATCAGCCATATAAGTACACACCTTTAAGTAGTGTCTTTCTTTTGTATTTGCATATTCTTTGTTAGGAAGAGGGACAATGCATGGAGAAGACTTGTCATCCTTGCACTTGGCTGATTTACGGCTGTATTGATCTTTTTTATGATCAAGGCTGAGCAGCTTAAGAAACATGAGTCCAGTTTCTGTATGGACAGCGAACCTAAAAATAGTAGCATGCTAATGCATCCTGAGCCACCCTGAGCATGGCTTCCATTAGCAATGATCCATTAGGTCTTGGCCCCTTCTAACTCCTAGGAGAAAAAGCAGAAAGGAAGGAGAGCCAGCATGTGTCCTTTCCTGTCCTCCTTTTGTGGATTTGTTCTTAAGACCAACTGACCCTCCTACTGCTCTGTATTCTTAAATTGCCTGATACACGAATTGGTCCTTTCTGACACAGTTACATGATGGAAGATGCATTTTCTTCCCCTGTATAATTCAGCTCTCCCTTGAGAGGTAGGGGGTTCCCCCCCCCCTCCCTTTTTCTGATACAGTAAAGTTTCAGCAGTTATCCTTCACGCAAGATGCAATATGAAGCTTACTAGAGCAGGCTGGTAATTCCAGCGTCCAGTATGAGAAAGTAGTGTTTTTCTGAGCTGTATTAAACTCACATTCTCTGACACTGCATCTCCATCATTACAACTAGCTCCTCCACAGTCGACTTCAAATGTTAAGTACTAGAAACTCACACCGACAATGAGAGCTCCTTCGCTCCAACCACAGTTTGGAGCGTCTCGCTGGAATAAGCGAAGCTGGGGAGAGTTTTCTTCTAATAAGATCTGCAGGGCAGGAGCTTTGCTTTCATGAATTTTAGGAAGTGCGTAAGACAGAACAGATGCTTTTAATAGAATAATAAGCTTCATATTCCCAAAGTTTATGCTAATCTCCTCTCTTACTTATTAGTACCCCTAGATCTTGTCCAGTAACAGCAGAATTCTTCATACATGTTGAGAAAATGTTGTGGTTTTTTAATCATAACTTATGAGTTCTTCTGTTGGTAATGTCTATATTGTAGCCTTCCTTTTATTAGTTAAATTAATCGCATGACTGGCTAACAGAATACTTAAAATTACAAATTTCTTCTCATAATGACTTTGCTGATGAAACATATATCTCTGCAACCTTAACTCTGAGCGAGCCATTTTGTTTGGATTTTTTTGTTTGTTTGTTTTTTGTGGGATATGCAGTAATCACAGTTTCCTATGAGTTAACACAAAAAACTTCGAATGCAAAACACTGCTTGCTGGGATATAAACAAGCTATATAGTCAGGCACGACTTGCAGTCCTGTTTCAAGGCGAATCACGGAGACACCCGGTTGGTCTATGATTTTGCTGCCCACTGGTGGTGAATATGAAAACTGCTGTTATTACTGCAAATTCGACTTCCACGACTACAAATTTGTTTGTTTGAAGAATAATACATAATCAAAATTCAGGTTTTTGAAATGGCCTGTATTTTGCTGTTGCCTTCTCTCTGACACATCCGTGGGTGTGTGATTTGTTTATGGAGCACTGGACCATTGAAGTTGGTTTGAAAAGAGCCATAAACACTTTGAGTGGGCAAGTCAGATCTGTAGGTCAGCAGTAACTACTATTCTTGTCACTGTTGAGTGACTTGATCAGAAGTCAGTGCTGCTGGGTGCGACAGTCGCATGAGAAGCCATTTGCTGTTAGTGCTTCGTCTTGCAGACTGTGCTTAAGTAAAATTGCAGTTAGAGGGAAGGAAGTTTTACCTGATTAAGAATTGCAGGATGTTCCCAAATCTCATCTTATTCCCAGACACAGAAGCTTCAGCAGGTGCTAGAATATTTATCTTAAGATGTGTAGACAGTATTTATTTCTAAAGAATAGACACAGGTAATTTGAAAGGTGAAACAGCTTTAAATTGTAGGTCACATTTGATGTATGTTAGGCAGCAACCCAAGCTACTTCTGTGAATGCTACACGGTTAACCCCATAAGTGAATGATCCTAAAAGAAGTATGCTCATCAATAGTTATAATGGTTTACAACCTTAATATATGCTTATATTTCTTAGTAGTGAGGAACAGAATGATGTTATGTTACTGACTACATCTGGTTCTGTGCAGAACCAAAAGCAATTTTGCTGATTAAAAAAAAAAAGCTGCATGAGAAAAAAGAAAAATATCTGGTCTTGTTTATAATTCTGGTGGAGTTTTTTTAATACCTAAAAGTTTGCTAAAGTGCAATCTAAATAAATAAATAATCTTGCTTTCATGCTGCTGTTGTATACTATGTGCCAAGTTTGAACTTACAGCTCATATTTATGGCCAAGCTTAAAGCCCTTAGTAGTGGCACTTTGAAAGGGACATGCTGATACAGCCTAATCCCAACCATGCATGCCACTGCAATAAAGGCAAAATTATTAAAAAAATATGCTGATCTGGTTGAAGATCAGAATGACAGTGATATAAGAAATGCCCTTTGGTTTTATGCTTTTATAGAGTAATGTCTGTATCAACGCTTTCTTTTAAGGTGCAATTCACCCACACTTGTGCATCCTGCATTATGTTAAAGACTAAACCTCAGTACCTTCTTTACCTAAGTAAACTTAAGGTAAAGTTTAGTAAAAACCGAAATAAACAGAAAACATCCTCACAGGAATGGCCCTTACCTTTGCTGTGCATTTGAGTGGTAATACAAAAACATCCAGTGTTACTGTCACAGGCTATCTTCACCCGTTTAGAGAGCCTTAACACTTCAGTTTGTTCTTCATTTAGAGTTGAACTGTGTGTTGGAGTTTAATATGAAAAATTGGTGATTGTGTGTGGACAAGAAAAGTGGCAGATTTTCTGAGATACATAGCAGTATGCGTATCATGAATGACCTTCAAATTTCTGTGGCTGAGGAGACTGTGCCATTAAGGAAGAGATCATGAGTACTTTGCCAGAACTATGGGTATGGCAGAAGGCTTGATCCTCTGTATCTTTTCACCACAACCCGTTGGAAGCCCGTCTGATGGGGTGTCTTATCTCCTTACCATGAACATCGTATAATGTCTGTATTGATATGATAGTGCATATAGCCATTATTGTTTCCTAGAAATATAAACTTAAACTATCTCAATTTAAAAAGACCATCTGTCATAACTATTATTGCTGAAATGCCCCAAAAAGCCCTGTACACCCAAAAGAGCCAGTTAAGCCCTTTGTACTTCTTTCTGAAGCGAAGAAACAAAAGATTGACTCAGAATGACATTCTGAAACGTTCCTGAAACTATTTTTAACTGCTTCCTTTTCTAAATACTTAGATTTTTAAAATATATGAACTTCTTAATCTTACTTCATGTTGCACTAGTATTTGTTTATTAAATCAGTATTTACATTTCATGCTTTTGACAGTGGGATGTTCTATGATGGAAATCATACTTACCTTATTGAGCCAGATGAAAACTACACTTCAGATGTAAGTAGAACTTACAGTAGCCCTGCTGTGTTGTTTGTTGAATACAGACATTTGTGGGTACAGGGTAGGCGTAAGGCCTACATGAGACCAAAGGGTCATCCTCTCATTCCCAACTCATTTACCTCATATGTGAGTTCCCATCACCACAGGCAAAAGTAGACCTCCAAAGATTGAGCAGTGGTATGTGTATATGTGTGTACTCCCTAACACTTGGATGTAGAGCAGTGCAGCACCAGAGGGTGATGAGGGTCCCTTGGAGCCAGGAGGAGAAGCCTGTGAGTGTCCTGTCCCCTTCTCTGGAAGTTCCTGCTCTGGATTCATTACATCCTTCTCCTTGTTCGGCCTCAACTCCAGTTCAGCAGCTCCTGTGACTCTCAGATGTTCCCTGGGCAGCTCTCTTAAGCTTAGCTTTAAGCATGCTCAGCCACTCCATTTGATGTACTCAGATGTTTCAAGTAAAATCTGATTAACTGTGGTGTTAACGATCACATGACAGTTGGGAAAAGGAGAAGAGTGTAGACTAATAGTGCCTTGCAACTTGCATGTTCATTAGTGTAGATGTTGGATGACAAGGACCTTTGGAACTGTGTAATGCTCATGAGATGGATTAGTTTATCCAGGTTTAATACATGCAATTATTTACTATTTCAGGATGACTTCCATTTCCACTCTGTTTACAAATCCAAGTTGTTTGAATTTCCTTCGGATGACCTGCCATCTGGTATGATTTTTTAATATTCGTGACTTACTAACTTGTTTTAGTCTAAGGCCAAATTTATTAATCGTATTTGATAGGTAATCTTCTGATAGCCTATTGTTTATTTGTATATCTTTTCTTTTTACTGATTAAATAAAAAAGCACTGAAAACAGAGAATCTGAAACACTGAAGGCACTGGGAAATAACCTGAAGCACTGAAAAAACCGTGAATCCGATGAATCAAACCTCTCCTAGACCTTCATGTTGTGATGTATGTTTCTCTTAGCAAGTTGTGCAGTCTATGGACTGCATTATAAGATAGTAGTTGTAGAAAGGAAAGGACTGAGGTGGCTTAAAGATGATGAAAATAAACCCCACATTGCCAGTGGCTGGTAACTCTTCATGGATTTTTCCTCTTTTGAGATAGAGGGTGAGTACTGAAGTGTGAGCATAAGACTGGGAGACAAGAACTTGCCAAATACAGTCAGCGTTCAGTGACTCTCTCATCCCCAGTCTGCTCAGCATCTTTCACAGTACTGGCTGTAGTGTGGGTTATGCATTTCAGTGCAAATGAGTTTGGAGGCAGACGTGATGTAAAGTGCTTGTAGTGATGAATCCCCACAAACAGTTATATTGTGTGTGGAGGGAGAAAAGGTTTTTATAAAAAACAAGTTTTTATCTGAGAAGTTGGCTTGTTAATTGAAGCTGAAATTGCAGTCTTTATGCCATATCCCCATTCTGTCAAGGATTTGCCAGCTTTACAGGTGCATTTTCCTACTCTACAAAATATATCCTAGATAAATAAAGCTGACCTTCATAGACACTGTCATTTTGGTAGAAACCACCTCTAGACTAATTTCTTCATGAGACTTACAGATGTCCAGTCATCTTGTTACAAACTGTTTGTCGTATGGTAACAGTTGGATCTGGGATCGTATGGTGCTGGGCACTGCACATAGATGGGTCCTTGTCTGGAGCACAGTGTGTGCAGGTTTGCTAGTTGTTAAGCGGAGTAGAATCATTCAGAGAGCTAATGAGAAAAAACAAGGGAAATTGCTAAATTGCTACAATTGGGTCACCTTGATTTCAGTTTCGAAGAATGAATCTTTCTGAGTCTAAAAAAAAAAAACATTATCCCAGCTTGGTGCATCATGTCCTCTGCTGGTGATTGCCCAGGCAAGCTGGAGAAGGTGTTGGGATGGAAGGGCAGCACAGAAGGCTCATGCAGTGCAGGACGTCAACATCTGTATTATGAAGCTTCATGTGTACACACACTTTACACACATACCGTGGTTACCCCCTGTACTTGTGAAGATGGTAGTGTAATGAGAACAATTTATTGAACATAAGGCCAAATAATAAAGTGCATCTTTCATCACGCTTTCTTAAGGATATGGCATTTGAGAGGCTGGAAATAATACAACCACTGCTGAGTTTAAAATGATTCTTCTGCCTCAGGTTGTTAAAGTAGGAGACTGCTAGAGCTGATACTTAGCAGGTATCTATCAGCTGTCTTGTAAGATTTCCTGATAGTGAATTTTTATGTTTTCCAGATTTTGGAATAAAGTTATTTTCTGCTTTTAAAATTATGAAAAGGAATTAATTGCAAGTATAATCCACCAGTTTCACCTCCACCAAAGCTTCTTGATTTTCAAAAAAACTGTCAAAATAGGACTTCAGTTTCTCCCCCCCGCCTTCATCCAGATATGTTTGTACAGTTTTGATTTTACTGTAGATAACAAGTAAATAGTTGCTGTCTTTGCTGTACAAAGTCCGGCCTGTGACATAATGGAAGATGTTGCCATTGGATTGAATTAGAATCCCAAGATTGTAGAAAAGTTTGAAAAGGAGATTTAATTGTGGAGTGCTAGTGGTCTTAATTATACAGATATTTGTAATGTGGCTAAGAGGTATAAGGTGCTAATCTTCTATTGCTTTATGTTTAGGATCCCATATATGAAGAAGTAAACTTTAACTCACCAATCTGCTCTCCCACATGACTGTAGTTGTTTTTGTAAAACTGTTTGGAAGGGTGTTTCTGAGGTTTGTAGTGAAAATTTTGGTAGATGTAATAGATTGTATTCTCAGTAGGAATCCCATGATTTTTCTTTCTCTGTGATTATTCGATTTATCTCTAAGTTATTGTCCATGCATTGCCATAGCTCCAGAGGATGAGAGCAGTCCTCACCACCTCCGCTTCCCCATCCCTGTGCCCACAGGAGCTCTGTCGTTCATCCCCCAACCTGCTGCACACCCTGCCAGACCTTCGCTCCTCATACATGCTGCCCTACCAGTGTCTCTGCTTGGCACTGCCTCTTCCCTACCAGGCTGGAGAGTGCTGACTGTTGTCTTGACTTTTCCTTTTTTTGTTTTCTTCAAACAATATTTGCAATTAATTGCTAATAATATCGTTGTGACTGATTTTTTTTTTAAAGTACTACAGCAGAATCATTATTATTAGTAGCAAGCGCGGTGCTAGCTTATGTCATCGGTATTTCTTATATTCCTTATTACTCTCACAATTTATCAATTTGCCTAGCATGACGAGATCTTCCTTGATGTCAAGATTTTCTTCTTATCTTTAAAAGAGTCTATGTGTAAGCTAAATTTTCCACTCAGCACTGCATTAGGAATGGACTGGTTGTATCATCAGCTTCAGTATTGACGTTAGAAAGGGAAAAAATCAAGTAATAGGGATTACTCTATATCAGTGATAGTAAAAGCACACACTATTATACCACAGTTCGATAGCAATGTACTTTTTACATTCTTTAGCTCCTTGGGTATTAAAAAAAAAAGAAGCTATTGCAGAAAAGAATAAATTGTACTGTACTTTGCAATGGTCTGAGGAGGTAATGAGGACTTCAAATAAGAAAAGCCTGGATGGATGACTTGGCGTGCTTAGAGCATTTGGCTTCATGATTTAGTAGACTGTATTTTTTCTCGCAGTCTGTATTGAGACGTATAGTGCCCTGGCATGGTCTTAGACAAAGCTGTGTTGTTGAAGGTGTTGTTTTTCAAATAATGCATAAAAGCTGTCCTTTTCTTTTGAGATCACTTGAATCCTCATTACACTTTTTCAAGGTAGTATGTTCTCATCAAAATTTCTGCTAGGCTTTCTCAGCAATCTACATTTCCTGTGATTTTGCTGGTCATGTTCTTTTTTGTGAGGGTCCCTGGCTGGAAATACACCCTGCGTGAATTCATCCAGCTTGTGAATTATAGCATAGTGTTAATGTGTGTTAATGTGTTAACATTAATGGCTGCATCATTCCCCTCTAGAGATGACTGACTTCCGATGGTGGGTAAAACGATTGCATTTGCTGGTAAAGTTATCTGAGACCCTATAAACATACTGTAAGTTATTATTTTATTGATTGAAAAGTTGTATTTTTACCAGTTTCATTAATGATGGTATAAAGCCTCAAATGACAGGTTGAGAGCCAGTTGTGTGGCACTAGAACACAGGCTAAATTAATCAAGATACATAAAGCATAATCAAAAACAAATTTGTAAAAACCAAGATTTAGTTTCTCGTCATTGCAAGCTCTAGAGACTGCAGGTCTTTAAGCAATAAATAGAGACCCTTGCATGTGATTTAATTTATTTTAGGTCCTTTTTGTAAAGAAAATTCTCAGTGCACTGATGTAATCATGAAAACATTTTTAAGCAAAGGGCCTATGATTGTCCAGGGCCCTTCATTAAAAGATACCTGCAAACTTCACATATCAAAATGACAGTATAATCCTCAAGATTTAGCCAAGACCATACCAGTTAGTCATGGTTTGCTTTCCTGGTTTGTCTTATCAGTAGCTAGCCACTACTAGCTACTACTTAAGATAAGCACTTACACCTGGTAATGTTTTGTCAGATGGGCAATTCAGCTTCGTGTTTTCATGATATGGCAGCCCTGTCAAATTCCTTTTGGCATTGTTTTTAATTCTGTTGTTTGAACCTCATGCAGAAATTGTGCAGTTGATGTATAGCAGGTGGAAGGTGGAGCTCTGAGAAACTTTCCTGCCTCACCAGCGAAACTGAACTGTTTAGGATTTTGTAAAACAAATGGAAGTTGTGTACAAAAGTACATGAACTGTAAGTCCCTCAATTCACACAGCTGCTATAGTACTGTCTACTTCCCTGCAGGATTGATAAAACCAGTCTGGAATACTGAAAGCAGTTTTCAATCCCTGGAGACTGAAAGGATATGCAAAGCTGGAGAAAGTACAAAGGAGGGGACAGAGGGAAAAGATATTACAAAATAAGCAACTGCAAACATTGAATTTATGTGTTTCAAAGAAAGATCTTGCGGTTATGTGAATAGTAAACATGTTTATACAAGATAAGGAAAGAGATTTCTGTTCTATAGAGAAAAGTGAGGCAGGGACTATGAATCTAAAATTAAAGACGGAAAAATACTTGGACATTTAAAAGGGTGAGAGCAAGTATTGTCTTCTGCTTCGTTTACAATGTGTACCTCTCCGTAAGCGGCTAGTAATAGATTTGGTGAAAGGTAGTTGGCAAAAGAATAAACTACTTGGTGCTTATGATCAGAGGTTTAAAAAATTAAAGATATAGTGGGATTAGCAGGGAGGAATACGCTATTGATAATGAACGCTGCCAAAATCTCATAAAGGCTTCTCCCAACTAACATTTTACTTTGTGAATATAATCATCTTAAAGAATTAATTCTGCCTTCCATGCTCTTCTTATTGACTTAGGTAGCTATTGTGAGAGCTCTGTGAATGTCTGCTGAATTCCTGAAAATGTGATTCACTCCATGGAAGCACTGTGCTAATAATATTACATGCCCAGTGTTGGTGAAGTTTTGGTGTAGAACATCTGCTGTGCTTTCTGAAGTGTGACACCCACAGATCATCTGTTTCAGCAGACCCAGATTATCACTAGTAGAGTTTTTAATAAGAACCCTGTTTCTGGGAAGCATCTGTAACGTTGCCTCCTTTGTAGCTGGAAACTTGAAAAAAGGAGTTGTTACTGCATCTAATGTGCAGAAGGATGCCACACTACTGTCATTCTGCATCAGGGTCACTAATTGTTGGGCTATATTCTTGTAGTCATTCAGTGTATTTGCCTGTGTTTTCTGCTTAGAATTCTGGCAAATGAATACTACATCACAGAAGTTTGTTGTAAAGCCAAGACATAAAAGAAGTAAAAGGCAGGTATGTGCCAGTATCCTTGTTTATATGTAATATACCATCAAGTTTGTTTTGTGTCTGCTGAATTAATTTGTCCAGATGGAGTCCTGCTGCCACTGCTGATGTGGTATGAGGTCTCTATCAGTACAGCTATTACAAAAAGAGATATCTAACATTGACAAAACATTGTTGGGTTCTCTTGGACATTGCCTACCTGAAGAGTTATAAAATTGTTAAACACTGCAAAATTGTAAATGAAAAAGTAGCTAAAATATTTTCTTTCATTCTGAGTATAGAGTTTTATCAGAAACTCACAATTAATGAAACATTTACAGTATTTGTTTATGTTGCAATGGTCACAAGTAGCTACTTCATCTCACTTGACTTTGATTTAAAATAAATATTCCAAACTGAGAGTTCATTCCCTGTTTATTAAAGTGGGGGAGCCACTAAGTGCAAATGTTTGTTTGTATCCTGGAAAGATAGCAGCAGTTCTTTGCATTTTAGGAATAGAGCTCAGATAGTAGTACAGGTAAAGACAGAGCAGGGTCAGGGGGACTGAGCAGTGCAGGCAAAAATGAAATATTGAAAGCAGAGGGAGAGAAAGGTGACTTCAACATCTCTAACTAATGCAAGCCTCTCAGAGGCAAAAGAGAAGTGAGAAGGATGCTGAAGAAATTTCAGAAGTCATTCTTGAGCGTCTTACTTTATATCAGATGGTTTACTACCTTTCTGTAACCTAGCCATTACTCTGCATTTTGAAATCATAATGATGTAATAACTGTCCTGGAAAATCCAGGAAAACAAGGAAACTGTGAAGAAGCTCAGTCATAAACGTTTCTAAATGCAAAGCAAGAATAACATGGAGGTGAGTACTGCATTCACTGTGTGAATCGAACAGTGTGCAAATAAATAACAGAATTGTTTCAGAGATTTTTCATAAAGAATGCAGGAGGGATCCCTTTCTCCATGAAAGAAAAAGTTTATCACTGACACAAGCCATATTTAGAGACGTAGGCCCCACTGAGGATTCTCTTTCTTTAAAAAAAACTAAATTTGGGATTAGATGGGTTGAAAGGCTCTATCTGATTGTTTAAGGTCATATAAATGTCCTGATGGAGGTGAAAGGTTTGTAAAATGATGCAACTAAGCACCAGAAGTTTCATCAGTATCTGAGACCAGAATTAAGATAATAGGAAAAATGTATGCGTGAGAAGTTTGGTTTCTGAAGCCATTTCTAGCTACCAGTTGCACTTTCTCTGTACTGTGTTAGATGTTCTTACAGTTGTACTCTCTCCGTAGGTTCGTCAGATTCCACGTAAAGTTGAAGAGGAGACAAAATACATTGAGTTAATGATTGTAAATGATCATCTAATGGTAAGACTGACACACTTCAACATCCTATAATTATTAACATCAAATTGTCTTACTTGGTCCATAAAGGATAACAATGAAGAACAATATATGGCCAGAATAAATTCAGCATGCCCTTAAGAGAAGAGATTATGGTCTCATTAACCACTGATGAAGTTGCTTCTGAATTTTGGCAAGGTAGTTTCACCAGGAATGTAACCAGACCTGAGCATCAGAAAGAAGGGTTATAAATTAAAGCTTTGTGTCATAAAATAACTAATGTCAGTGTGACTTAAGCTGATGATTTTCTTTCTGGCTTTCTTGAGCACTTATCTTAGTTATAGCCACTAAGCAATCAATAATGCAGTTATTGCAGTTGTGCAGCAGCTGTTGACAATGGAGAGATTAATAGTGACTAGATTTTTTTGATCTGACCAAATCAATATAGAGAAAATTATTTTGTTAAGCTTGTGTACTTTCTTTGTGAGAAAATAAATAGGCTCTTTCATGTAGTGGAAAGAGACATAATAAAGATTAATGTATTGAAGAAAAACCAGGCTCATTCAAGTGCAAAAAGGCACAGATTTATGTCGGTGGAGATAGTTAATAATGAATGAAAGCAATATCAAAGGAAATGGTGAATTCTCCATCGCTTGCAGTCTACAAATCCAGACAGTGTATTTGTGGAAGATGTTGTAGTGTCAAACACAAACAATAGGATTCGATCTTTAAGTAACTGGATAAAGTTCAGAGACTGGTGGTGCCCCTCCAACAGGTGACATTAGTTGATTTTATGGTCCTTTATGGCTTTAAAATCAAAATGTATCTGTACATTTTACCTATCCGTTCTGTAATGTGCAGCTTCTCTCAAGCAATACCAAATTGGCAAAAACAGACATCAGAGTGTAAAGGGAATGTGCCACTGTCCTTGGACAGCATACTCCTCTGTCAGCTTAGTTTGGTGAGCATAGCAATAAATCCTTGGATTAAAATGGACAATACTGGATGCAGAATTCCCTAAATTGATGTCATTGTGTTTGATTCTGAAGACCTGAAGCCACAACTTTCTCCTTGGGACCTTACCTGTCTAGGCTGATTCTCCCCCAAGGACGATGTTTCCTAATTTTGGTTAATTAGAGCTACTGCAAGAGTCAGTCCACTTAGGAGTTTATTCTCTGAAGCAAATGCCAGTGAACATCCGTGGTCAAAGAAGCCGAATAATTTCCACCTGGGAGAAGGAAGTGTCATATGCTCTGGGCTAGTGGCCCCACAGCCTGGGCTAGTGTGTGTGTGTGTATTTGGATTACTCTCTGTGCATGTAGTAGCTGCGGCACTCCAGATGAACTCGGCGTGGAGCTGACAACGTGCAGAGTCAGAGCCTTTTCACCGTTCAGCCTCCCCAGGTGCTCCCAGAGGGAGCCATGAACCTGGTGCTTCTTCCTCTGGTCTGTGGAGCCAGCTGCATCCCACCAGCCTGCCCGGCCGCTTGTTGCTGCGAGGGGTGCGCTGCCCTCCTGTCTGCCCTCTCAGCTGCTCCTCCAAACCATTGCTTCCAGTCATGGAATAAAGCTTCTAAAGCCCCAACATTGAAATAGGCTTATAAATGAGTATACCAAAAACATTTCTGTAGGATACTTAGAGAGGCTGGAGGCTTAAAGTTTGAGCTTTAAACTCTATTTAGTTGCAGATAGAGACTTGAGTAGTATACTTATTTCCCTTCATTCATGTGCTTCATTTTCCATTTATTTTGTGGCTTTTTCATTTCATCCTTTCTACCATTTTTAGCTTCTCCTTTTTTAGTAAGTGTAACTTCCTCATTTTTGGTGGTTTTTCCCCCATTCCTGCTTGAAAGCATGCCTTTCCCCCTCCCTAGCTGCTGGGCACTTCTTGCCCACTAAAAGATCCTAACTTCCAGAAAATATGGACAACTTTCACTGCAAAATCACGCGTCATGGGACAGAAGATGGTTAAACATTTCTGAAAATCTTGTCCCTTTTGTCCTAAATTATTCTAAGATACGTGTGACTTTCATACCCATGGTGCTCATTTATAAGTGTTTTGTCTGCAAATAGGAGTACCTGGAGAGCTATCTTCAGTGTCATCTTTATACCATTGTATTACAGATTTCACCTTTACTAGGTGCTATTGCAGTTTGATTGCTAAAGTGATTTGAACCATTTACTGTGGCATTATGGAGTGTAAAATCGTACATGAAGAAATCCAGAAGACAGCTTAAGAGAGAGAACTGGAAAAAATAGAAAGTCTGATAGATTAAAACATGGATGCAGGCACTCTTGGGGTAACACCTCTAAAGAAATCTCAACTGTGGAAGTTGTGTTGCTAATTTCTGTATTGACATTTGGAAAAATTGCCAGTAATAAAGATAATGAAGAGAGTAACAATATGTTCCTGTTTCTATAGCATTTTTCAGTAAAGACCTTAGAGTACTTTCCAAATGGGAATTAATAGATCCTCACAACAGCTGTTGTAAAGTATATCAGTAATGTGCATTTCTGAGCAATTTTCTACTATTGCTTATTAAGATTCCATTCAGCACAGGAGACCAAACCTTGCATGGGGGTTTTACTGTTGATGTGGTTGCTTTTTACTTAGTGCTTTTTTGGAAGTGGAGCTTATTTTTCTGAAGTCTGTATATGTAACCTGTCTGTGCTTGTTTCACAGTGTAAAAAGCATCGTTTGTCAGTTGGCCATACAAACAGCTATGCTAAATCGGTTGTGAACATGGCAGATTTAGTAAGTATCACTCAACTAAATGTTCTTTTACGTGTGAGATGAGTCATATGATTCTCTTACCGATAGATACAGGAGTTATCAGTTCATGGTATACCGAATAATAACATATGTGAAGATGACAAATTTTCATCTAGAGCTACAGGCAGCCACCTATAAAGCCTTTGTGTAATGCATTAGAGATTTTTTGTGGCTTCAAACATTTAAGTATCCTGCTGGATCAATCCCTTGAGCCTGAGTTTTTTTAAAGAGCATTTTAGATATGACAATTTTTAACACAGGGTCCCTATGTTGAAACCCAAAAGACAATCTGAAATTAGAGTGCACTAAAATTTCTCCAGAAAAGGAACATTTGAGTAAATGAATTAAAATAGGGACATACAGGTGTATTATGAGAATTATATTTGTGGCACTAAGTCAGATGAGCTCCTGGCTTTTGTACCTCACCCCAGAAAGGTCTTACTAGAAAAAGAAAAAATGCAGTTCCCACTCTTGAAACTATTTGATGTGGAGTATTAACTCCCAGCATTGAAAGGATGGCTCTTTTTTCATGATTCGGCCAGCATGAGGTTAAACGCTCCTGTAGAGATGTAGAACAGTGAAAACTGGTAATTTTTCAAAAATCCCATCTCCCTTCTAGGCTGATTGAAGAATTAGGCCTAAAATTTAGATTTTTACTTTGTTTTCATGTTTGTTTGTTGGTTTTAAGTGAGATAAAATCACCTGGGAGAACCTAAAGTGTGCTAGAACAAGCTAAATATTTAGTTACGTAAAAATGCAAGCTGTTACAAAAAAGGGGTAAAACTCACCGTTACTCTATTTGACGTAATATATTTGTTCATTCTGTTAATGTACTAGATATATAAAGAACAACTTAACACCAGGATAGTATTGGTTGCCATGGAAACCTGGGCTACTGATAACAAGTTCACCATATCTGAAAACCCCTTGGTGACCCTACGTGAGTTTATGAAATATAGGAGGGATTTTATCAGAGAGAAAAGTGACGCAGTTCACCTTTTTTCGTACGTAACCTCGTGTGATGTTTTATTACTGTTTTTTTTTTTTTCTTTCCTTGGGGGTTGCTTATCACAAGTGACTGATGCATCTCCTTTCTGTTGTGTGTGTAATCCACAATAATTCAGAAAGTAATGTTTCTGATGGGGAGGTGGGAAGAAGTTAATGCACAAACTGCCTGCCAGTGCAACTAGAGGTTTGACTCTCATTTTATTTTTAACATACTAAGCCCAAGCTGCATGCGCTGTAATCCTTGGTTATTCTATGCAATTACCTACTCTGCAAGCACAGCTGCTTGGAAGGTGATGCATGGTTCCACGTCGGAGGTTAGCTTTTTTGGCAGTGGAGCACAGACAGCCCTGCTGTATTATTTAAAAGCAGAACATTGGTATTGAAACCAGTGAGGTTTCCTGCTTAAAAAGCATTATGGCCTGCTTTGTTGAATGACTTGCATGCTGCAGGATTACTGAAGTGTTTCACATTGTTGAAACAGTTTGTCCTGCAGAGAGACGTGTGCTGTAAGGCGAATAAGCTGGGAGGAATGTTCTTCTCTCTAAATCTCTTAGTTGTTTTGGAAATAAGATTGATATAACACAACATACCTACAAAAATAGAGGAAAGGATCATGGCTGAGACTTTTGATCCACGCAAGACAGGCCAGATGAATTGCTCTATTTGAGTCCTTATCCCTCTCTACTGACTGTTGTAGGAGCCTATATGAATAAACTTAACCTAGACAACTCACTTTCACATGACTCTGGTAGGGTGCCAGGGTACCCAACCCCAGTATCCACCCTGTCAGAATTTTTGCATATGCTTAATTACTGTCATTGTCTTCTGCTATGAGAAGAGCTAGTAAGATCTGCAAGTGGTGCTTGCAGATTTTGTTTTCTCTGTGTCTCAGTTCTTCATTTGTAGAATGGGAATCGAGTTTTCTCACATCCTTCATGTGTCTTTTCTGGTGATATTGTACAGTCTTTGGGGAAGGTCTTGTTCTTACGAACATTTGTGGATTGTCTGGGACAAAGAGGGTCCCATTTGCCCTGTGACTGGGACTCTGCATACCAGTGTAATGCTAATTCCAGTGCTGTCTGTAACACCACCACTGATGTTTGAGCTATTGAATTCATAGTCTGTTTAGAAATACCAGTTTCTGAAATCATGTTTGTGAGTGAGATACAGCTAAGTTGGGATGTGAGGTTGGCTGGTGTGATGGTACGCTGCCGCCTTCAGCACAGTTAGCCCATTGTATTGTTTCTTGAGGTTTTTCTGTTTTGCTTTGAAAATAACAATTTTCCACAGCTTGGATGGATCAGTACTCTGAAGTGGAGCAGAGTATATTTTGTCTTCAGTAACTGGCAGTCATTTATGCTGATGTGGTCAGCACCAAAGGGATGATTAGATTTAAGCTCCTAGTGCATCTGTCCCCTGGGTGAGATCAGATGCAGTTCCAGGGAGTTTTAACCTACCTCTGCCTCAGGGAGCCACTAAGGCATCTCCCTTTGAGTTTTGCCACATCAGCATTGCCCAACTAGACACGTCATTCTACTAGAACCCCATGCATTGGCAGCGTGGTGGCCTCTCCTGCGCTCTGTCTGTAGCACGTGCCAGTGGAAGTTGCTTGCTGCGGAAGTATGTCAATGAACAAAAGGCTGGTAAGATTTTGGCAAAATAGTCCCCTTCTTCTTATGCTTTCTTATATTAGGTAGTCTGAGGTGTAGCTTTTCTGGAGATAGTTTTTATGTGAGGTTTGTGAGTGGTTATATGTTTTTCCCATTTTGTTTTTGCATAGTTTGCAGCGTAGTGGTGGCAGCCAGCATTTGCAAATGTTTCTCATTTGGAAGTCAGAAGGGTAAATACTGGGATGTATAGGTGCAAAACTCACAGGCTGAGCACGGTAAACTTACTTTTCCTTTTTTCTTAAAGGGGGAGTCGATTTCAGAGCAGTCGGAGTGGTGTAGCCCACACGGGTGGAATCTGCTCCTTGCTTAAAGGCGGAGGTGTGAATGAGGTAGGTGGAGATACTGATATGAGCAAAAAGTGGTGGAAATTTATCTGCACAGAATTTATCACTGCAGACATGTTCCTCAAAATATCTTGCTGCTGCTTTGCTGTTGCAGAGTTTTAGGTGCTGCTCTGTAGAAGGGATGTCTCAATGAAGAGTGATGAGTGAATAAAATCAGATATGGATTCAAATATACTTTTCAGCAGATTCTTTAATATCCCATCGTTCATGCTTGCAGCCACAATGGCAAAAAAGAAAAAGACTTTGTCTTACTCAACTTGTCCATAAGCCAGCATTTAGTTTTCCTCACTTGTCCATTATCTACCTTCTCTGAAGTAAGAACTCTTGACACTGTGCATCTGATTTTGGCTTTCATTACCTTGAAATGAGAAAAACTTCACTTGTCTCTGAGATACCTGTATGTAACTGATTACTCTTCCTACTTTGCTTGTTTCTTTCAGTTTGGAAAGCCAGACTTAATGGCAGTTACCCTGGCACAGACCTTGGCCCAAAACATTGGCATTTTCTCAGACAGAAGAAAACTTCTAAGTGGTAAGGTTGTTTGCTTTTTCACTCTGTCTCAAGAGAAAGTCTTAAAAGGTGGAGGATCTTATCAGTGTCTCTCTGATATGTATTTTTTCCCCACGTGTCTAACAATGTTGAAATATTTTTACTTTTTCTGTAATAACATGAGGAGAGATTGACAGATCATTGATTTTCCTCTATTTACATGCTGTGATATCCCCCTGCCCATGACTGCTGCAGCACTGGTGTCACCATTTCATTAAATCATAAAGGTGTATGCCACTTCCATTCATTTCAGGGAGACCAGTGTCGCACCCACAGACTGAATGGCTGCCATCTTACGGCACAAAAGTAGACACATACATTATTAGACCTGGGGATGATGAGAAGCCACCTCAATCCTGTTATGCCAGGGCGGTTTTGACAACATAGCTTTTTCCCTGTTTGCCTTGATTGAATTCCTCTTGTAGATTACCCAAGTCTCCTGTATGTGCCACCCTACTACCATTTATCTGCTGTAACCTTGGTATTGAACTTCTTGGTAACCCCTATTTACCTGCAATGCCTTAATTCAGATCTCCACCCCTGACAAGCACCTCACCCTCCCTGCTTCCATGTTATATGAAGTCCCAGCAGATAGAGACCAATGGATGATATAATAATAGTATAGTTTTGAAACAATTTCGATGATGGAGTGCTTAGGTTAGTGGGTCATGTGTACTTATGTGACTTACAGTTAAAAAAAATAAATTACTATATTGAGTAATAGAACTCCACTTAGGCGAATTTTGTTTCCAGGCATTGTAAAAACAGTATATAGTGTGGAGATACATCTGCATGTAAAGGTTTTTGCAGTTTACGTAATTTTATTTTGAAAAATATTCAGAAGTGTAGGACGGATGCTCTATGGTACTGACATGTTCAGTATACGTTTTCCAGCAGCATATTATTAACCTGATACACGGGCAAGGTAAAAGTGAAAGTGATAATAGTGGTGATTCCCTTTCTTTTGGCTGAGCAGAGTGGTAGGACGCGGTTTTGGTGGGGAGGGAGGAGAATGCAACTGTTGGGCAGAGCCTTTTTTCCTTTTTAATTGTACTTTTAAAATGGAAGCAATAAAACTGATGTTCATTGTATGATGTTCATTGTACAGTAAGGCAAACTGCAGAAAGAGAAAGATGAAAGTATGCGTGCAAAGCATATGTGCAAAAGTAAACATATGTACAGAAATAGAGACAAGTCACAGTTTTGAAAGGGGAGGGCTGAGACCAGAGCAAAGCGGTCCTGGGGAAGCCCTTTGCCTGCTGGGGACTCATGTGGGGAAGGGAGGGAGAGCGGAGGAAGAAGCTTCTAGATCCTGCTGTACTGGCTTGTGTTTACAGACCGTTCTATGCATTGTTGTGTGCATTATTGTTTGGAGTTTTTTTCAAGCGAAGATTTCCCCAGTCACATTAGCATAGTAGTAGAAGACAACTGAAAAATTAGAAGAAGGGTTAAAATGATTAATTTTTTTTACTCTGAAAATTCGGGAATCAAGTATCATGCCATGGGAGAAGGCAGGAGAGCTGACTCATGTTTTGCAAGTGCTGGAGGCTGACATTGCAGTTTCTCCTAACTTCGCTTTAAGGGGAAAGGAAAGAAAAACAGGACACATTTCCAATGCTCAGGGTTGCATAGAGTCATGTATAGTTTTTGAAAGAAGGTTTTTCATTGTGCATTGATACACTTAAACTAAGGTTTGCAATAAACTGGAGAATTCTTCTTTTCAATTTGTGTTTAAATATGAAATGGAATTAACTACAGTGTGTTTTTTGTGATAAGAAATGTATTACTTTGGACTCAAAAGACTCAGGTTGTGAAATTTTTTTATTTTTGTTGCCAGGTGAATGTAAGTGTGAGGACACATGGTCTGGATGCATAATGGGAGACACGGGGTAAGGTGTTTCACTAGACAAAAGTCATGTCCTTCATACAATGACATAAACGAAATGTGTGAAAA